CTTTATTCATTTCTTCATATGTGCATACATTGTATGAACTTGTTCATCTTGGCAGACCACTTTGAGTTCTTATGTGCACTTTATTTCTACAAGATAGCCACTCTCTGACTAGGAAAGATATTGTATTCTGTGTATCAATCAGATAAAACTCTGCGGAAGCAACTTAACAAAACACTTGAAACAGCAGTAGCAGTTTATAACTTACAGATCCAAGAAGGAAGAGGATAGTAATTGTCAAAGGACCAAAGGGAGGTGGGGAGCTGTCCAGGACACTCAAGTTCAACCAGAGAATGCAGAGTGAGGAAGGAGTGGACAGGAACCCATGCTTAAAGCCTTTACTGCATTCCTTGGAGTTACTCAAGTAACTTCCCTGAGGGAATGTCTTGATGCATTTAGAGCAAGCAGGCACTGTGGAGTCATGCTGTGACAGAAGTGGTTGTTGCTGCACATTTGCTGCTCAGTACATGTGAGGCAAGACAAGTAGGTATTATCTTGCTATGTTGTTAGCTATCTAGTTGCAGGGAAGAGGTCACTAGATATCTGGATTGGCCTCCTTGAAGAACTAGGGGGAGTCAGAGAATTTGAAACTGTGTCAAGGGTGACTAAATTCTGCTTCTGGTACGATGAAGTCCAACTTATATTCAAAATGGATTCCAAGACAACATAAAATTACAAATATTTCCTACAGAACAAAAAGTATCCTTTGGTCATCTTCCAGAGAAATTTCTTCAGAGTGGTGAGACCTGAAGTTAGATTGCAGTGGACAGAGGAATGAAAAAGCAGTGGGGAAATGTGGACAAAAAATTCAAGCAACTCTTAAAAGAAGATTGTGCTTAAAGAGGAAATAAAGCAATAGCTTGAAGTGACAACAACTGAAAATTTGTTACTAATGTTAGAACTGGAAAAATATCAAATTAAAATTCACTTCTATAGTAATGTCTTTGGAATCATTCTGTAATGATGAGACATGGACTTTGGACAATAACTTCTCATCAGAGCTTTCCTGATATAGAATTTTCACTAAAAGGAAATGAGTATCATCTAGTAAGTATCACTGTTCTTCTCTTTATATATCTTAATAATAAAGGTCAGGTAATGTCTACAGGACATTGTCACTTTTAAATAAACTGTAAATCTTAAGGAAAACATTGACACAAGCATGCATTTGAAGAAGACTCCAAAGAAGTAATAGGAAATTAAATAGCACTTAAGTAAAGAAAAATTTAATTTCAAAGTGCAGATTGTTATTGAAAGTCTGCCAGGTATAAGACACTATATTTGATTTGGACAATTTCAGCTGAGATTGATGCCACTGTATTAGATCTAGAATTTACCTTGTTCTATTTTCTCTTCCATAGGATATTTAGTTTGTCTTTATGCAATCATTCTTTTCTCTTTAATTCCTGCCCAATGATTTCTATAAGGTAAAAGAAAAAAAAATGGTGGCTAAATAGAACCAAGTCAAATAAGTTAAAATCATACATACTGTAGGAAAAATATTTGACAAGTACAAACAATGAGGGCATTTGCTCTTATAGCTATTGCTTTTAGCATCTCGGAGATTGTGACTAATAAACTCAAGCTACCTTACTTTGAAGGATTAAATTCCAGTGCTTCCATTGAAAAACAAAACCTTTTAGATAGAGATAAAACTTCTTATACTTTGTTGAGATAACCACAGAATATTAAGAAAATTAAATTTTTACATCACAGTGGTTTATCTATAGTGATTACAAATGGAAAGATTATGTTGTGAGGGTAGTTTATACAGACATTCAGAGAAAGAAGTGATCTTTAAAATGAAATAGGTGCAGAAAGTTTTCATGGACAAGATGAGAATTGAACTTGTCCTTAAGACTGCATATGTAGCAAGCATGAAGAGAAAAGGAAAAACATTCTAGGAAGAAAAAGCAGAATGGGCAAATGAGTGTTTAAATCACAACCTGGAAATTTAAGAGAATTCTTGGATCTTTTCAGGAGTCAACTAGTAAATAAAAGTATCTGTAAAGGAAATTTATATAGCAATTTCCATACTATCAAAATAAAGAGCTCTGAACTACTTTCTGTGTTCATAAAGCACCTACTTAATGGGGGGCACTTTATGGTACTTCTCCTTCTTTCAGTAAAAGGTATTGTTACCAGTCCACTTTTGAATCTTGGTTCTTAAACAATAATGATGTTTCTGTTGGTGATACAAATCTAAGAATGATACAGTTCATGTTCTTAGGATTTTTAAACATATAAAGATGTCCTCTATGTGACAAGTCTTAACTTCCTGTTCATAGTTTTACCAGAAATTTTCTTATGTTTTCTTTTTGAGAAAAAATTAAGACCATATATTCTCTTAAAAAATTGAAACAACAAAACATATGCCCTCCAAAAATCTTAACGAAATAATAGATTTAAAATCTAGTCACAGTTTCTGGCATGATGTAAGCACTTGGGAATTACTGAAGGCTAATTTTAAATAATTGTTCAATAGATGCTTGTTGAATTGAATTATTTAAAATTCCTATCATATAATTTGGACATAATTATTTATGTCTATATTCCTTTATACCTGAGGGTGAATATATCTTCCAAAGTTTCACTTTCAGTATATTGTCCACTTGAACAAGTATTATATGACTATCAAATACCAACCATGGCAGTAAGTGAAATGGACTCAGTCTGTGGACTTCAAGGAGCTTCCCCCTTGAGAAAAGAGTATAATGTTGTTTTAACTTTTTCAATACCTGAGTAGCGGGAGCATGGGTAAATGATTTAATAGATATTTATTTAAATGTTTATATAAGTGCACTTGTCTTATCCTGCATGACAGGCATATGTAAATCAAACACACTGTATTCCCATAAATATACTGGGATAGACTCTCCCCATAATGGCTCTAAAAATCATACAAATGAATAAATACACTCTACTCATATTAAATACATTGCTCTTAATGGTTAAATATTTCCTTGAATTTTAAAATAAACCATAAAAAGCCTACAGTTCAATAATGACTCTGTGTGGTTTCATTAAAACTTACATTTTGACAGATTCTCAGAAGGCCAATACTTCATAATTAATGGATGTTCAGCCAAAAGGTTGACCTTCTGAATGACTGGATAAGTCCAAACTTAGTAGGAAAAAAATTTGCTTTTGACTACATATTGAAGCCTAAGAGTCGTTATCTTTTAGAATGAAAGTAAGCTATGGAACCATGCCTAAGAAATTAGCTCTGTATGTTAACATTTAACAGTTCTTTATACAATAAAAATTTAAGCTATCTACTTTGTTTTGTGCTATATTTAAATTTTTAAAAATTGCAAAAAGCTTCATCTACCTTGGTCATTAGTGGCCTTCTTTCAAAGTTCCTGATTAAACTCTCAGTCAGGTGAAGCCTTGGATATCAGACAGTTGACAAAAATAACTCTGGAATTCATTTCCAAGCTGAATCTACAGAACCCCTCCAGACAGATGGCATCCGCCTATCTGGTATTGAGTCAGCTGGTTCATTTACTTAAAGGTTGGTGTTAATGAGATCATGCTCACAAAAGAGGCCTGATACAAACAAACTTTGAAGTCAAACAGACATGGATTTGAATTCCAGTTCTCTCTCTTTTTAGCTAGTTGACCTCAAATTTGTTACCTGGCCACCTTGAGGCTCAGGTACCTCTAAAATGGTAGAATATCTTTCTGTCTTTTGTCATGATAGAGAGTAGACACTAAGAACCATTAATATGCTTACATCAGTGCCTGAGACATAATATTCCCTCAATAAATATTGTTTCAATGTTTATTAGGAAAACAACTCACTGTGCACATTATATATTTTATTGATCATTAGTCAGCAATATCTAGATGTAAGCAAAACCATTGTTCTGAAAATGTATAGAAGCCTATATACCTGTTTATAGTTTGGGTCCAACCAACAATTTTTAGGTATTCCAAAACAGTTTCTTATACTTTCTGTATGACATTTATAATAATTTCTAATGCTATCCTACTGACTGAATAAATTATGAGAATATTCATATAAAATAATAGTTTTAGCTCATACATGATCAAGAAATTATGTTCAGTGGATGAATAAATACATTATAGAATGAGTTATGTGAAATTATGATATACTCAAACAAAGCTTGAAGCAAGACACTGAAGATTTACTTCCCTGGTGACATTGGCATTCCTAATCCCTCTGATTCTCAATGTCTTCCACTTTAAAATATAAAGATGTGATATGTAATGCTATGGTTCCTCTTCTACAGTTGCTCTCTCTATGGTTTTCCATGAAGACAGTTGGGCACCAGTTTCTAATAGTGTTTTTTACTTGCTCATTTCTCCATTGACTTATTAAACAGGTGTTTCTTCATTACTATTGCATAGCAACATGGTAGAGTTATATTATGAAGATGAATCTCATATATACTTTGTCCTTACAGAAATTGCTGTTTATTTGGAATGACAAGATACATACATAGAAACATGTTCTAAAGTTCCTGAACGGAAGTTATATGAGATTTATGAGGACAGAAGGTTTAATTTCAGCCAACTAGATACAATGAAGGGAGGGAAATTGCCATTTCAGAGAAGATGATATGTTAACTGGGGTTTAAACATCCATACATGGGCAGGAGGGACTTCCTCCCTGAGAAAACAATGTGAATAAAACCTGATGAAATAGGAAACTGAATGCAGATTGACTGTACAATTAGGTTTATTAAAAAGAATAATGGAAATATGTGTAAAAGGATACCATTAGACTAAGGGAGCTTTAATTGTTATATAAAAGGGTTTGCAAAGCAAAAGCAAGACACTGGAAGTTTTGGGGAAGGGAGGTAGAAGAAAGTTGTATTTCGAATATGACTCCCAATCAAGTGTTCGATACTGTGGCTGTAAACTCAATTTTGATTTGTAGATGCTCCAAACAAGGTCTCTAAGCAGGATCTTTTTTTTTAATTAATTAATTTATTTTTTATTTTTCTTTTTCTTTTATTCATATGTGCATAATCCAGGCGGCTGATGTGTTACTGACACACGGAGCTAATATCAGTGTTCAAGATGCAGTCTTTTTCACTCCATTGCACATTGCCTCATACTGTGGACACGAGCAAGTAAGTTTGGCAGTAGGAGTTCCAAAAGCTGGGGGACTGTTAAAGTGTACTAGGCCTTTGTCATAGTCTTTGAATATTCTTTCCATATTCTCATAGCTCCACTGAGGAGCTGTAGATCCACATCAACATTACTGCTGTCTTGTGATTCCTTTTTATTGACTAAGTGCAAAAGGAATTATCAGAGTGCATGGGTAAGTGTAAAGCCACAGGAATCAGTCAGCCTGAATTTGAAAAACCCTTACCTAGTTTTATAATCATGTGTAAATTATATAATCCCTCCTGATCTTCATTTCTTCATCAATAAAATAGAAAAATTATCAATAGTACCTACTTCACAGGTGTGATATTATGAGATAGAAATTGTTTGGCAAATGCTCAGTTATATGTCACTATGCCCTTCCAAAAGCTCTTTGAAAAAAGTGTCTTTCAGAAACTCTATCTCTTCTTTTATACTCTCATGGGATGTTGTATGTGAAAAAATGTACACATTCTAATTTCTGGAACCTGTGAATGTTACCTTAAAAAGAACTTTGCAGATGTGATAAGGATTTTGAGATGGGAGATTATTTTAGATAATCTGTTAGGTTTGATGGTTTACAGAAGTCCTTAGAAGAGGAAGAAGGAGATTAGAGTATAAAAATGGAAAGAAGAGGCTAAAGTGATACAAGAAAGAGGCCATGAACTAAGGAATGAGGCAGTTTATAGAAGCTGAGAAAAAAAGAGTATAGCAGCCTTCAGAGGAAATGTACCCTTTATCATTGGTAGTATTTTCTAAATTTTTCACAACCTTGAAATTAGCTAATATTTTCCTCTTGTTACCAATGATACATATGAGGCTCAGGCAGGTGAGGGAGCATGCCAGAGTTATATGACAAATAAGCAGATTGGTGAAATATGTACTCAGATCTGTCTAATCCTCAAACCCATATTCATTTTCTTTTGCCAAGTACCCCCCTTCTTACTTAATTTCAATCAATAAGACAAATTGCAAAATCCAAGCAGTTTTTCTAAGTGGTAAAGTTAGATTTCAAAACAATGTGCTCTTACATCAAGTTCCATTGATTTACAGCCATACATATTGAAAGACAAATTTTTTATGTATTACTTTGAAACACTACTTTCAAATACTATTCTTTAGCTATTCTCAAGAAACTGAAAACAACCAAATAAACCAGAAATGCAAATAAAATTGGACAACAACTCAACTATTCTTTGGACATATTTTTATTCTTCCTCCTTTTATCTCTCTTTGTTCATTCAACAATGGAGGATTATGCCTTTTTAACTTCCTAGAAGTCATGCCACAATACTGCTCGAGGGTTCCAAGTTGAAAACTAAATTTTCTTGTGTCCCTGTGCTGCTCTAGGGGCCATGCCTTTATTTCAATACTACCTAGCATATACTAGGGCACTCTCAAGCCTGTGAAGTGTGACCTATAGCTAAGAAAGACTGTTCATTTCATTGATGTGCTTCTCAGAGTACACTGGAGTACACTGGAGAGCAAGGCACTAAAAGTGGGTTTGAAAGTGCAGGATCCAAAAGCCATAGATAATGGAAAAATTCCATACTTTTTGACTTCAGGAATGGACAGGATATATCCAATGCATGCTGCTTGTAAAGTCATCTTCTTTGGTGATTAACCTCATATCCCAGCAGAAAGGTAAAGAGCCTCAATGCATGTTGGGTAGAGAGCTAAATTTGTTTACTTTCCCTGAAAATATAGTCACAGTCTTATAAAATTATGCTGAAATGCAGATGGCCCTTTTATGTTATGAGACTCACTTTCTGTGTGTAAAGGCAGTACATAAGTAATTTATGGAGGCTATTGTCATTTGCTAAAGTATGCTGACAAGGAGAATGGCACATTCGATATATAAATGTGCTTAATGTGCCATGTGCCTTGCCATTTGTTTATTTATTTATTTTTAAGTGGAAGAATAGATGTTTCTACCAAGAACAATATTTCCTAGGTATGTGATAATAGTGCTTAATAGACAATCAATTTTAGAGATAGTTTAAATCTGTCCATTATAAAGTCACATAATCAGAATTTATAGAGTCTGTGTAAGTAGAAATATATGCTTAGGAGTGCAAAGATCTTGAGACTAAACTTCTGCTGTCCTGATGTCTCCTGAATTAAGTCTTGATCTGTCTATTAGCCAACGAAAGGATAAAATATACTTGTTCCTCATCGGTGTTACCACTTTTATTGAAGTTACTGAATGCTAGGCACTTTTTTAAATGCTTTGAATATAATAATTTATTTAATCTTTACAACAACTGTATGTAGTAGGACTACTATCATTTCCATTTTAACAATGAAGAAACTGTAGTATCAAATGACTAAATAATCTTTTCAAGGTGACAGAGCTATTAAGTAGAAGCCAGATCTTAGCACTCTTGCTCTTTCCTGATATGCTCAATAGGAAATCATTCTCCCTGTATCTCCCTCAGCTAAAATTTGCCTAGAATTTCTATCAAATGTCTATTATATTTTTTAGAAGTTTCTACCCAAGGCTTGTTTATTTGCTGCTGAACAAGAAAACCCAAATCGTTCTAGAGCTTGAACTTTCTTTTGCACTGGCACCTTAGGACAATTGACAGGCATTCCCCTAACTGTTTACTTTAATGATACATATGTCCTAACTTACCTCTTAGATCACTTAAGTGGCTTTTGAAGTGCTCAGGGGAGGTAATGTTAGGTTTACAAAAAGTATTTGGAAGTTCCTAAGCATATATGTAAATGACTCAAAGAATCTCATAACTTATTACGACCACCACCAGGAAAAATGCTAAGTACTTCCACTTAATTGGGGCAGACGCCAAGGCTGCTGTGGCCCTTCCATTACTCACACATCCAGCAAAGAACTTAGAACTCCGATAGCCAGATGAGCAGCTGTGGTCTATGCATTGAGCTGTGATAAAAATCAAGAATAAAGTAAAACTGCTGTTGATTCTGGCTAGACAATTAATGTGAAAAAGATTTTTCAGAGAAGACTACGGGTGATTTTAGAGAAAATTTATATACAGTGAGTACTTACATTATGAAATCGACAAGAGTTAATACAAAACAAGAAAATGGCAAAAAGTCGGTTTTCAAAGCCAAAAATGTAATGAGTTTTCTTTTTGGTTTACTTTTTTGGAGTTTCCTCATAATCTGATCCAGTCCTCACAATAATTCTGAAACATGAATGGCAAACAATTCAATACTGAATTCAGCAGTAAAAATAAAATAATAATTCTGAACAAATACAATATGTCAGGCATTGTATAGGAATGTTAAACAAATTGATCCTCCCAACCCATGAGTTAAGTCTTATCATTTCCATTTTCCCTATGAAGACACTTAGGATGAGGTTATTTAGCTAACTTTCTCAAGGTCGCAAAGCTAGTAAAAATTAAATTCTAATTCTAGGCTTTACCTCTTAATGCAGTATACCTCTCAAATTAAAAAAATCGTTAGTGTAATAGAGTCAATAGTAGGCACTGGTGGTTGCCAACTATTACCACCCCTTGCCACAAATGTTTCATTGTTTGTACACTCAAGACCTTTTTCTACTGTTCAGTTTTGTCTTACAAGTTGTGTTTAGAGAAGCTGTTCTAATTCCCCCAGCTACTTTGTGTTGCATTTTTTTTCTGTGTTATATCTTAATTAGACCAAACCACTTACAGTAAATCTTTCCTTTGCCTAGGGATTCATCTAGAATGTTATAAATTACCTAGACTAGGTCAAGGAAATACAGAGCATGATTTCTGGGGAGTTTTTAAAGGAAGATCCTTGATATAAAAAAGAGTGATAAAGTAGTCCCTTATTCTAAGATGGACTTGGGAGGTTTTGCTCCCATGAGCATTCATATCCCTTAGCATGGTGAAAGGAATGATAGGACAGGGTTATGTTCTGCCAATGTTATGAAGCTACTGCATTAATCAACCCAGGAAAGTTTTATACTTCTTTTTAGGATATATAATAATAAAATCCCTATTGTTCAAGTACTTTGACTTAGGATTTTCATGTGAACATGAAAATAATCTAAGAGAATGCCTTAGTGATATGTGTTCTATATTGTCAAAAACTTTGCATTATTGTTTGACTTTATGATTCTAATTTCACATGAATGGATCTTCTAGGTAACCCGCCTTCTTTTGAAATTTGGTGCTGATGTAAATGTAAGTGGTGAAGTTGGAGATAGGCCTCTCCACCTAGCATCTGCGAAAGGATTCTTTAATATTGCAAAACTCCTAATGGAAGAAGGGAACAAAGCAGATGGTAAGATTATATATTTAGAAATCCTTTGCTATCTTTTACTTTATATATACTTTTTACTTGTATTTGCCTTACTAAAAAATAATCTTGAAATTGACTATACCTATAGTCATGTGTTAATTTGTACCACAAAGCATAATTAATGTTTTAAAACATACCTACAGGAGAATCCCTGTTTACACATTTCAGCTCAATTCTTAACATATTAAGTGACCTGGTGAAAGTAAGTTTTCCCACATAAATTAGTCCTATTTATTATTATTCATTGATTTTCTTTTAATTGAGATATAATTTACATACAGAAAATCCTTAAATCTTAAGTGTGCATCCTGTTGACTATTTGCTCCTGTGTACATCCATGAAAAAATCACCCAGGTCAAGATACATAATATTTCTTCACGCTGAATGTTCTCTCCTTCCTCTATCTCAGTAAATAGCCTTTACTACCAAAAGTAATTGATATTCTGGCTTTTATTGCCAGATTAGTTTTGTCTGTTATTGAAGTTCATACAATTTTATAACTGGTTTCTTTCATTAAACAAGTTAAATTTGACAGTTAACCATATTATTTGTATGAATCATAGTTTTCTCTTTTATATTGCTAAAAATTGCATGAATACGTCACAATTTATATATCCAGTCTCCTCCTAATTGCATTTTAATATTTCTAGTGTTTTGTTATTATGAATGCAGCATTCTTATACAAGTTCCTTTGTGAACTATGCATTTATCTCTTTTGAGTACATACATAGGAATAGAATTGCTAGACCAAAGAATATATATATGTTTAACCTTTTAGGACAAATGTCCAAAGTGTTTACACTATTTTTAACAGTACAACAATATATCAGAGTTCCAGTTGCTCCCCACAGCCTCCCCAGTATTTGATATTATATTACTATAATTTTTAATAGAGATAGAGTTTGAGTATGACCAGCTTGAAAAAATATTTAGGATATATGAAAGGATTTTAGATTCAAACACTAGAATAGAATTTATCTTACCTTTTTATTTTTAAAATTATAAAATGAATTTCAGAAAATTGATTAAAGGTAGAGTTACTGAAAACATCCTCATAAACTTTTATTTTTTGACACAAATTCACTGAGAGTTACATCTTGCCATTATATTCTCTCAGGCATAGCCAACATTTTTCCATTGACACCCCCTAGAGACCTAATTAAAAGCTCAGCTGTAAGAGCTGCTGGCCTTTGTGGTAGGAATGGTACACATTTCCAAAAGGACATGGTTGTCAAACCTGCAGAACTGCTAGTTCCTTGACCCAAAATTCAGATTGGTATTTGGTTAATAAAGCTAATCAATGTTTTCATCCTCTTATAAGGAAAGCAAAAAACAGACAAGATGCAACTGAGTCAAGAGGATAGAGAACTTTCCAGTTTCCATGTCAGAAACAGGGATCACCTTATTTTCAAAATCTGAAGAAGCATTGTTTGCATTGTTTTCTACAACACATTATGCAATAACTCAGATGTCCACTTTATACCATTGTTATAAACAATATGTGCTATTGGAACAAAAGGAAAGCATTCCTTGGACCTTATTTAGGCATTTTCTTTCATTCTGTTAGTTTAGAACAGGCAGAGGTACAGTTGTGTGAACCTCTCAACACATAATTGTGTTTTTGAAACTGCCTCGCTCTTCCAAGGGGTCAAGAACTGCATCACTCTTTCCTTTTATTATCCATGCCAACCTCAGCTTTTTATTCTTCTGCACAACTCCAAAGCTCAGTAGTGTCAAAATGAGTGTCATTTATGATCAGCATGTCTCCAGGATCAAAGAACTCTTCTGCAAAAGGCATTGAATGTGTACTGCACCCACACTCCCCTTACATACCAGAATGACACAATATAATTTTTAACATTTGCTTTCTGACTTACATGAGTACTACATGCCTCCTACTCAATCATTTAAAAAATCAAGAGACAGCATGACTCAGGCTTTTAAGTATTTTTATTTCCTTCTAGTGCACACTTGATATTTAAGCCCCTTTTGCACTTCAACCAATTTTTAAAAATAATAAGCTATAAGATCCACTATGCTTTGAAAGCTGTGCAGGACTTATTATCAGTTAGTTCACTTATTCTTAAAAGTATCTAGTCCCCAAAATGATTTATTTAAAATCTAGACTTTTTTCCATTGGTAAATAGACATAAGAAGAAGATTAAATGAGTGACCCCAAAAGGAGTACAATTTGAAATCTGGTATTTACAGTATGTTTCCATGGTAACAGAATGTCACAAATGAGAATAAATTCAGGTTACATAATTGGCCAAAATGTAATTCTGAAAGTAGGCTCTTCAGTTCAGCATACTTAAAAGGCTGACCTATTCAGTCAGGAATGTTGTAAGTCTCTGATCTGCTTCCTTGTATCTCTTAGGACAAAGAAAAAGAAATGTAATGCCTATTGAATGAAATTGAAAAGGCCAAAATATTGCTGGACTCCATAAGAAAAAATTAATGATACAATCCTCAAAATTCATCATTTTCATAAAGTTGAAAATACAAAAATTTAAATTCAAAATTTATTAATATTTATCATCTCAATGATAAACACTGAAGTTCTTTTATATAACACAATCCTTTAATATGGATTCAGCTACTATAAAAATCTATTAAAAGATTGTTAGATCTTGCTCAGTAAAAAGAATACTTGATTTTTAAGAATGCATCTTGTTAAAATCTACTGCATAGAATTATTTAAGACAGATTTGAGATGTATTTTAAAGAGTTTCCACAATTGGCAGACATTACTAGGTTAATGTATAAATTTTTATTTTATCTTTAAGGAAATAATCAGAAATAAAGAAGAAACAGCTTTCATACACCCACCCATTCAAAGAATCTTTCTTTCAAAAGACATTGCTGAACACTTTCTCTTGTCAAAGTGAAGGACAGTCACTAAAATTTTCCTAATAATGACTTACATATATTCCTTTGTATGAAAATCTCCTCAATCTAAGTCTCAGTAAGATACTAAGCTTATGCTAGAGCAAATAAAATGTCAGTCATACATTCAATTTTCCTCAGATAAGGTAAAATAATACTTGCATATATAGTTTTTATAAATTAATACAAGAAAAAACAAGAAGATCCCAATGTCTGAAGTCAAACACAGATGTATATACATAAATTCTGGGTCTGATCCCATATTTCTCCTGGATTGATCCTTCACTTGGTACTTACATCTCCTTTGATGGGAAGAACATCTAGGCCATTGCAGGTAAGTCTCTAAGTGGATAACCTACTTTGATGTTTATTTATTCAATTGTAGAAAAATAATATTTCTTGGCAACTTATAAATTACGAAAATTATTAAAATACAAGGCAAATTATAAATTAATAGAAGATAGCACTGCATTCTACTCTACAATTTTCCTTCTGGACCTCAAGAACTCTTACCTGACTTTCCAGATGACCTGGGCTCCAAACTGTTCTAGAGCATTGACTCACACCATTGATCTTGCTAGCTCTCAATAGCATGTGCAAAAAAAAAGAAAAAAAAAAGGAAAGGAAAGTATCATAAGAGGAAGATAATCAAAAGATCAAGGGACATGCTTCTGAAGGAACAGCCTTGGAAGAAAAAGCCCAGACACTTTGTTAAAGATTTCTGCTTTGGTTTGAGATCTTGCAGAACAATAAAATTAGGAATGTTGTCAACAAATTTAAGCAGCTAGAAGGTGTAATAAGTGTTTTAAATTAATGACTGTATCACCAATAGTATTAAACAACACAAATATTTTTTAAAGTTACTATTACTAGCTTACCCTTTTTGTTCATCATCATTTAATTTTTTTTCTTTTCTTTTAATTCTTTTGGTTCTACAAACAGAATAATCAGATAACAAATGCATTTGGCTAGGTCTGATGGCACATGCCTATAATCCCAGTTACAGGGAGGCATGGGTATGAGGATTGGAGTTTAAGGCTGGCCCCAGACAAAAAGCAGGAGACTATATCTGAAAAATAGCTAAAGCAAAAGAGGACTGGGGGTATGACTCAAATGGTACAGTGCCTGCTTAGGGAGCATAAGGCCCTGAGTTCAAATCCCAGCTCTGCCAAAAATAAAAATGGATTTGGACAAAATATATAATAAAAGAAATGGTTATAGAACAAGTCATTCAATTATTTTAGTTGTAAAATTTTGAGTTAAAGTCAGACACATAATTGAGCAGTTTGGTGTTCAGTCATTGTTTTTCAACTCTGTAATTATTGACTATACAACTAGACTATAAGTTACTTGAGGTTATATACTCTATGTGTTTTAGTATATTTGTTTTAGCACTCATAAAATTTCTAAGAGGGAAATTAGGAAATAGATAATATTATATCAAATGTCCATATGTGACACATATTATACTAGATGCCTTGCAATCATGAGTATCTTTAATCCTTTCAGCATACTGCTGAAAGACATTGGTACTTTACTGATAAGACATTAGTACCTCTAAAAGCTAGTGTAATGACCAAGGTATAGTGACCATTTAATACTTGGGGAATGAGCACTAACAGTCAACTTTCTGAAGCCTCTTAAGCTAATTATTTCTAATTTAAGCATGAAATGAATTTATTATACTGTATCAAGTAACACATAGAATCTTTACCAGAACAAGGTAGAAAACTAGGCTTAGAATAGTCACAGTAAGGGACAACATCCAAAGTTATGCCCCCAAACTGATCTTGTGAAGACAGAATACTACCCCTGATAGACACACACCAACCTGAGGCCTCTGGAACCAACAATGCAAGATCCTGAAGCTGTGGGTAGACCTGGGACCACAAGAAACTGTACAGAGCTAGTGCCACCACTACCACATTGCCGGGGTTGATTAGGCCCTGATTTTTTGTGTCATCAGCTCTAAAGTAAGTTTGATATGATGTGTTGATTAGAGACTATAGAGAGATGTCTTAACTAGGGGACCTGTTGAAAGTAAAAATGTCACTAATAAGAATTATACAAGAACTAAGGTAGAAAGAAGAAAAACAGAGGGGATGAGCCAAAGCAGGCTATAATACATATATACATGGACGTGCCATAAGGAAACTCCCTGTATAACTATCTTTAACAAGCAAAAATGTCTAAAAAAAGAGAATTACCCCAGGACAACAAGCCTCTGTATGGTCACCCTATGATGATTTTGTCTCCTAAGTCCTAAAAAGTCTTGGAAAGCAGATTTTTATCTTCCATAATAGAGCATAGTCTTGACTTCTCATTGATACTCTATAGGGAATTCTTCTAATATCCTAAGATTTGGGTGGTCCAAACAAAAGAGCAAAGACCCACCACTAAGGGAACAACTGAATTGTACACCTGTCTAAAGTAACATGACTAATGAGATCTGCCTCCAAGGAAGTGCTTCTCCTTTTCATTATGCTATGTTTTGTATACTGTAGTATGGCAAGTTTCAGCCAAGGGTTCATCAGAACTTCGTAAACAGTGTCCTAAACATATATACTGCCAGGTTTCTCCCTAACCTACTGAGCCCAGATCTCTAAGTTTTGAGCTCTGGACAGGACCTGCAATTTTTTTTTTAACATACTTCAGAGGAAAATAATCAATTTGAAAGGAAATACTTGTGGAAATATGTACACAAGTACCTTTTGGATACTGATTAGTTTCCTGAACCATTCCATTGTACAAGGTAGATTTGATGAGATGCATTTCCGAGCATTTATGGGAGCCAAAAGAAAGCTTGGTGATGTAGTAATAGGCAATATGATAGAATAAAACTTTTTAAATTGGTTACACTTAATTTCTTGTATTATTATCATTAACTGACAATTTCCAGGGGTCCCTCATGCACTTAGGGAAAGTCCTTAGCACTATACATATCAAGGCTAAGAAACAACCAATTCCAGATCACAAATTTTGCTTTCTTGCTCTGACAGTGAATGCTCAGGATAGTGAAGACCATGTCCCTCTCCGCTTCTGTTCTCGCTTTGGACACCATGACATAGTGAATTACCTGCTCCAAAGTGATTTGGAAGTTCAGCCTCATGTTGTTAATATCTATGGAGACACCCCTTTGCACCTGTAAGTATTACATAAAGTTCCATAGGACCTATAAATGCACTACATGTACCCTCTTACTAAAAAAAAAAAAAACCATTTTCTTCACATCTAGGGCATGCTACAATGGCAAATTTGAAGTTGCTAAAGAAATCATACGAATAACAAGAACTGAAAGTCTGACTAAGGAAAACATCTTCAGCGAAACAGCTTTTCACAGGTAAAATAATATTTATATGCACTAGCCACTAAACTTAGCTGACATCCTATAGCATCGGGAGTTGTGTACATAAAGCAATAACAAATAGTGGCAGATGCTGCAATCACAGAGTAATAGCAGAAGTAGGGCAGAGGACAAGGAGTCCCTGCTAGATGCACTGAGGAAAAGGAGGAGGCAGATGCTGCAGTCAGCACAACAGATGGGACTGAAGCCAGATGCTGTGTTTCTGACTGCAGCAACAAAGGCAGGGATGGATGTTGCCAAGGCAACAGGCAAATCAACATCTGTAAGCATATTGCTTCTATTCCTCTTCACTCTGTGGAAAGCTGCCAAAAGGGGCTGTGCCTATAATCCTCCTCCAACAAGATTCTCATTACCAGAATTCATCAGCATCAAATATGACACCTTTTTCCTTACTACTTAAACCTCATGTGCAAATGTGTCTACCTATCTAAGACATCCATCTGTCAGCCTATAAAAGCCTAGTCAGGTTGGCCATGTGATATCTGGTGATCCACTAGAGCCTTTACAATGTGTGCTCTAGAAAAAGCACAGCAGAGGATCTGAAACAGTGCAACCAAAAATAAGAAGATAAATGAAATTAAGGGTTGATAGTCTCTCAGAGTTCTAGTGTCTCTAAAATGTCCAAAAAGAAGGTGGATGTTTTATAAAAATTAAAGTACTTGTTTATAATGGGTTGCTATTTTGCTATAAAAGTGAATGTGTAGTAATTTGAATTTAATAAATCTTGAGTAAAAGATCATTTACCAACACATTACATATTTCTTAGCTAATTTTGCAAAAACCTCTGAAAAAGGTATTTGTTTATATAATTTGTTGTTTATATGATTTCTTTTTTTGGCACTGGTGAATGATAGAAAAAAGAAAACTCCTTTTTTCATATTAAACCAAAATTAAGCTTGTGCTTCTGCATCAGGAATCAACCCATCAAATTTCACGTGGTGTTTACAGGGACTTTTTTAATCAACCAAGGAAGTTTTCCAAAAGGGAAGTTAAGAAAACTACTATTTGTGAAGTAGTGATTGTATGTCAGATGATTTGAATTCATTATTTCATTTAATCTTCATAATCGTTTTTTTTTTAAATGGAGAAATTAAAGCTCAGGAAAACTAAAAAATTTGCCAAAATTTCTTATGGTTAGAAAATAAAGTAGTAAATGTCTGCCTAACTCCAAATCCTGTGCTTTTTACATATCTTCACGTTCTAGTACCAAAATATATTGTCTGTTTTCTTCACACTCAGAAACACAAGTGCAAGAACTCTTCAGGCCATACCTTCAATCAGAATGGATCTGTGGGATCTGTGCCTGAAGGGGAAAATTGGCAGAAATGACATAGACTCCCCATTAAGTCATGCATATTGTAGCTGACACCTCACACTAGTGTTCAAACCATTTTGCTACTCCATACACACGAATTGGAACCAACTGTGATCAGAGGGTGATTGTCACCTACAGGAGGTTGTCTGAATGAGATTTGTGAAGTGAGTTAAAAGTATGAACCCAACTGTTTTATTTTGTATAAGCATGTGGCTACTAGGAATAATGGATTAATATTTTTATTATATTTATTTTAAGCACATACTTATAAAAGAAACTTGTTTTACATGAGGAGTAAATTTTTATTTTTACAAGTCACAGTGCTTTGCACATAGCTAGCACTCCATACATTTGTTATTATTTTTTATATGAATAGATATCCAAATATATATGTGCAAACATATACTCACCTATATACATACATGTATATATGTGTGTGTATATACACATATAAATATACATGTATATGTGTATATTCACAGCTTATAATTTTCTTGCTTTGAAAAAGAAAAATAAAGCAATTTAGACAATGGAGTATTAAGTGAGTAGTATTATGGATGGTATTTATAATGTAAACAGTTAATGGTGATAGCATATGTCACCATCTCAGAGGTGATATGGTGGTTTTTATTCACTTAGTCAAGGAAAACTTATTAAGGACCTGCTTTATGTGGTTGATGTTGGTAGGAACATTAGGATGACAAGGTCCTTCCCTCCTCAAAGGAGCTCTAATATAAGTTATGAAGGCAAACAGAAGTGTATCTGTCACCATATACAATGTGACAAATGTCAAAAGACTGAAATGACAATGAAGCAGAGGAGACAGAAATTAATTCTGCCTTTGGTTTATGAGAGGACTTCACAGAGGGAGCAAGAGTTCATCTGTACTAAGGTTGTGTGGTATTTCAGTAAAGAATTACTTGGTTGAAACTGTCTCAGAAAGAGGAAATAGTAAAACCCAGTGAACTACGTCTTCTAGAACCAAGTCCCTGCATCCTTCGTTTAGCCATGATTTAGATGGGGCTCTACCCAGTGCTAGCTTCCTCCAGCCAACCTTGACAAACCTATAGTTCTCCAAATGCCCAAACTAAAATTCAATGTCAAGGAACTTATCCCAGATTCTCTGCCTAGTGTGTGGAAGACCTCTGGATTTTGAATCCACATCCAATGTTCCATAACATTGAGACCTTCTTCTTTGGTCAAGGAATTCTTCAGAAAGATAAGGGATGAGTTTTTCAGGGAATAATTTCACAGTTTTGGACTTGACGAAAGCTCTCAGGGACCCACCTAAATTCTGCATTTGATTGTCTTGCAGAATAATTCTTAGGTTAAAAATGAATTAATATCATAGGAAATACTTGATAAAACATACTGTAACTGTTATTTGCCTCCTTTGTTTCACTCCAGATGTAAAAATGTTCAGCATTTTATCACTGTGTGTGAATATTTTTTATTTACCCTTGTTAGACAATTCTCCCTTGTTTTCCATCACTTCTTTCTTCTCTCTCCTTCTCCCTTACCTGTCTCTTTGGCACTTTTATATGCATATCACTATCAAAATGTGCCTGAGTTTATCAAGGCTGCATTAGTTTGGTAGAGCTGCCATAATAAAATACCTGTGATGAGTTATGTGGCTTAAACAACAGAAACTTATTGTCTCATAGCTGTAGAAGCTACAAATACAAGATCAAAGTGGTGGCAAGTTTGTCCTCTGAGGCCTCTCCTCTTGGCTTGAAGCTGTTCACCTTCTCACTGTGTCTTTATGTTGTTATCCCTCTGTCTGTGTCATCTGGGTCCTACTCTCCTCCACAATGAAAACACCAATCTTATTGGATCAGAATCCACCCTAGTGATCCTATTATAACTTGACTTCCTCTTTAATACAGTATCCCTAAATGCAGTCACTACCTGAGATTATGGGAATTAGAGCATTAACAAGAATTTGGGAGGGAACATGACTCAGCCCATAACAAGGGCCTTTTATTTCTCTTATTTTGTGCTTTTGCAGTGTGTGTATCTATGGCAAGGACATTGATCTGGTTAAATTTCTTCTTGGCCAAAATGTTGTAAACATCAATCACCAAGGAAGAGATGGGCACACAGGTAAGACTGTGGCAAGAACATAACTAGTTCCAGATGCTTATCCGTTCCCAGGACATTGTTGTGCCAGTGGGTAAAGGAAATTGGGAGTGGTCAACCCCAAGGGGAAGGGTATCTTATCAAATGACATCATTTAGAATTGATAGTAAATAAAAAGCACACTGGAAATTTGGTCAGTTTTACTGTTTTTCTAAATATTACAGTCCATGCATTCTCTTATGACTTGTACCAGGGACAGACTGACCACCCCATACTGTCTTTGGTTTGGTGTTCAAGAAAATAGTGGTTGGATCTTCATTCTTATTCCTCATGTGAAGAAGACAGTAGCATTTGTTCCTGATAATTCCTGTAAATATAAAAGTGCTAGAGGTTGTACTGATCAAAAGACAGTATACATAGAAGACTAACAGAATATTTTTTTTGCTAAAAGTATTGTCTTATTTTTTCAATAATAAAATCAATTTATTATCTTACATATCAATCATCACTTTATATCTGGAAATAATGCTGTTATATGGATATTACTGTCCTTTGAAAATCAAAGGACAGTTTTCTTCTTTTCTCCTTTCATCCTTTTATTCTTGTCTATTACAGGATTACACTCTGCTTGCTACCACAGTCACATTCGCCTAGTTCAGTTCTTACTGGATAATGGAGCTGATATGAATCTAGTAGCTTGTGATCCCAGCTGGTCTAGTGGTGAAAAAGATGAGCAGACATGCTTGATGTGGGCTTATGAAAAAGGTAGATTTTTAATCATTGCATCTCTATAGGACACACTGAACTATGCATAAATTATGCCATTGCATATTCCTTTGCTTCCATAATTTGCACACTTTCACTTCCCCTATAGATGGTATTTGTGTCTCTAAGGACTTAGATCAAAGTGTCCAATAGAACATCATTAGAGAAAGCAGCTCCTGGCTGCAGATGACATGAAGGCATTCTCAGTATTAACAGGCTGAAAAGGGTGTTGTGTTTCTAAGTACAAGAGAAACAAATTTATGATAGGTAATGGTAAAGTGTGTACTTTACAGCTAGTGTTTATCTCTTTTATATAGGAATTTGGATGAATATTAAAATTTTTATAAATAAATAAATATAAAAAGTCATATTTGAGAAATCAGATCTGCCAAGAATGCCTACACTGGAAAAAATGTAGTTGAGCCAGTGATTAGTGTTTTAAGCACAAACATAACTGAATACAGAATGGTGAGAGCTTAAGGTTTGGTGTAAGAACTCCTTTGTTTAAGTCAAATTCTTTGACTTTATACAAGTTATTTACTCCTGCTAAGCTCTGGTTTCTTTATCTGAAAAATTCAGATAACAACAGCTTCCACTTTACAAGATCATAAAGATTAAGTAAGATAATATCTGTACATTGCTTAGTGGCATGAAATAAGTACTTCATAACTGATGTTTTGGTAGTGATAGTAGTAGTAGGTGGGAGTAAAGATGATTGATAAGTTCTTCATTTCAAGGGAGAGTTGACTAGAGACTTTCAGAGGTTAAACCATGTCTTTAACATGGTATTAAGATATTATGCCTCATAACTGAGTTCTGTATATTCATATAAGCTCCTAAGAAGTTTAGATTTTCCAGGTGAGATGGAACAGTACACATTGTCACTGAAATTGCAGTTATATACTGTAGACGTCTAAGAAACATATAATTGTTATTTTAATTTTTGATGAATGAACTTTTTTTAGGGTGTTTAAAATTGTAAAAAAACTATTTTTCTCTTTTTTAAATACAAGAATCCTGAAAGACCATATTGAAAAGTACAATTACTAACATATAAGATTTCTCTGTTTACCAAGTTGATCTAAATGGTTATCTGCCTGAAGCAGGTTATGAAAGTTAACCTAATGAAAGGAGAGATGAAGTTTGATAAATTAAAACAGAGAGCTATTGCAAGACAAGAAGAAGGAAAAACTTGCGTGTCTGAAGATTGCTGGTGAAAAAATAATATGGAAGTTACTTTAATAAAAATTAAGTGAATAGACATAAAGCACTGACATTTGCCTTTATACATATCATATCGGTACAACTTTGATTTTTTACAAACTAAACCTTTCCAGTGCTCAGATGATGAACCTGAACATGACCAGCACCTTGGAAGTCCCACTTATAATCTCTTCCAATCTGTCTCCCAAGGAAGGTACCACTGCCTTCTTCTGCCATAGTCTTGTTTCTTTCTATACTTTATATAAATATAATTCTGTGATATAAATTACTTTGTGTTTGGCTTCTTTTTTCTTTTGGCAGCACTGGGGTTTGAACTCAGGGACTCATGATTGCTAGGCAGGTGCTCTACCACTTGAGCCACTCCATAAGTCTCCATGTCTGGTTTCTTGTGGCTAATGACTTGTGAGATTCGTCCATACTGTTGCAGGCAGTCATAGATTGTTCATTCTTATTGTTGTATATTTTAACGTTGTGTGACTACATCACAATTTGTTCATTCACGCTACTATTCACGGACATTGGATAATTTTTAATTTAAGGCTATTAAGAACACTGTGGCATGAGCATTCAAATACGCATGTATGGTGTGTCTTTTGATGGATTCACAAATACATTTTTGTTAGGTATAATGGGCTTCTACTTTGTATTTTAAGAACTCTAGGTAGTTCTATATTTAAGTATAAGTTGGAAAATCTTAACTATTCTAAAGCCTTGGGAGATACCCTACTAAGCTGTACTTACTCAATACATTGCATTTATTCCAGTGATTCTCAGACAGCACCTCTCAAGAAATGTGAGTTTCAGAGTAAAACTGTTTACAAAGCATTAGTCTTCCGGAAGGCAGCTCAGAAATTGCTGCTGCAGCTATCTCTTCACAGAGATTGACTTTATTTGTTTTTAGCTGATTGAGAGTGATAGTTGAAAACTGGCCTTACTTTTTTTTTTTTTGTATGTGTGGAATTCCATACCTTACAAAACAATGAATCATTGTATAAGCTCCTGGTACTCCCTACCAAATGTGAAAAAAATCCTTCAGTTTAAAGGACTTTCTCAAGGATATCTGTAACATATGTCATACTTGTCACCTTTGTTTGTTCAACTACTTTGCTGGGCATCAGTGTTGGGTTCCATAATTACTGTGAATTTTAACAAATTAAATGTTAGTACCCAGGAGACAGATGGATATTTTGCATATGTTCTAGGGCAAAGAAAGTCAAACCAACAAAATGAAATTGTTGCTATTTTCTCTTGCTAGAGAAATATATTGTTTTCATATGTTCAGAGAGAATTGAAATGGCCTTGTTAATACTGTCAACAGTGCACAGTTTGTGTTTCCTTTGTGTGAATAACTGCTTCCCTTTCTCCCTTGGAGGGGAAGGTCACAAAATTAATTGATAGGGCATACTAAAAATTTTCCTGAGCAATTTGGAGATGAAGCTGGGGAAGCACTAGAAGAACTCCATTTAGAGATCCCATGTGACAGAACAAAGAGGTAGGAATGGCTCCACCACGGTATATAATGTACTCTATCCTGTCCCAGGAGAGAAAAACAAGAGGAGAGCCTCACAAACAGGGTCTGTTTGAAAAGGAGTACTTTGGGATACACTCATTTTTTTAAATATTTTTAAACACTTTTATTGGCATTCATTAATTGTACAGGAGGTTTCATTGTAATAGCTCCATATATGCTTACATTGTTTGTTTGTTTGCAATACTGGGGCTTGAACTCAGACTTCAATTTGAACCACTCCATCAGTCCTATTTTTGTGAAGAGTTTGTTGAGATAGGGTCCCAAGAACTATTTGCCTATGCTGGCTTCAAACCATGATCCTCCTGATCTCTGCCTCTTGAGTAGCTAGGATTACAGGCATGAGCCACTGGTGCCCAGCTCAATATAGGCTTATGTTGTACCTTGGTTAGGTTCATCCCTACCATAACACTCTCTCGTTCCCCTTACCAATACTTAAAATGATATTGACAGTTATCATTGTTCTATTTTCATACAACTATATCAATCATTACCATATTCATCCTCCTTTAACTTCTCCATTCATCCTCCCCTCCCACATTTCCAACTCCTAAAAAGGACACTTCTGGCCTTTATTTTTTAAGTGTATAATTCATTGTTCAAAGGGGTTTTACCATAGTATTTCACCTGTGCATATGTTGTACTTTGATCAGATTAACTCCCTCTGTTACTCTTCCTTACTCTTTCCCTCATCCCCTATTAGTGCATTTTGTTATGCCGTCTTCCTATACAGTTGCAATGTATTTAAATATTAGTCCTTTTTCCTCTATTATTCTCTTTCCACTCCCTCCTCCCTCAGTCTCCTCCAGCAATTCCACTATTGCTAACATGTTGTATAAATAGATGATAGATGATAGATAAATAGATAGATGATCATGTTTGTATTTGTATATACATTTATCTTTTGGATCTATCTTACATATATGACAGAAAATATGTGACTTTTGTCTTTCTGAGCCTGGATTACTTCTCTAAACATGTCCCATCCATTTACCTGCAAATGATATAATTTCTATCTTCATCACTGAATCGTATTCCATTGTATGCATACACACATGCACACATATTTATCACATTTTCTTAATCTATTCAGCATCCTGTTGTAGGGCACCTGGGCTATTTCCATAGCTTGGCCATTGTGAATATCACTGCAATAAATATGGGTTTGCAAGTGACTTTATTTGGGATATGCTCAATTTAAATCGCTCATTCTAGACTACTATCTTCTTAACAAAAAACTGGAAATCTTTCCAACAGCATGTGTCTCCAAATGGTTCTAAGCCAAGTTTTTTAATATTTTTTTTTACCTCACCCAAACTAAAATTTAACTAACCTCTGCTCTGCTATCCCGATACAGTACATTCAGGGGTACTTTAAGAGTTCTGAAAAGTTATTTACTCTATTTTTAAAAATTCTTTCAGAAAAGAATTTACTGAAATTCTGTGGAATCAGATATAATGAATGCCTATTCTATTTACATAGTCCTTTTAACCTAAAGAGATAAAAAATCAACCCTAGCAAAACTTTTCTTGGTGACCTTAATTCTACACAGAAGTCTACTGGATACATTTTAATATTTCTCCTTAGTCTGCTTAGAACTCCAATTTTACAGTATTTAGACTGCTTCTCTTCCTCCAGGCTCTCTCTTTCTTCTTTTCTACTATTCCATCTGAAAGTGTACCAATAGCTCTCTCACTCAGTTGGATTTGGTCTGCCCTTTCCCTGGGATATAAACGACTTGTATGAATCAATTTAAATTGTCCAGAAGAAATAGCCAGCAGCCTGCTTCTGTTCAAATCCTCTGCCCTAATCACCATTATGGAAAACCCATTGAAAAGATCTACACATAATCTTACATCCATTGCATTAAAGATGAACCTGCCGAATTGAAAAGATCTCAGCCAATTAGAATTGAACACATAGCTCAATAGTGTGTCTGGCAGTTAGATTTGAAAAGGCTGTCTTTGACAAAGAAAAGCGTTCCTTTATGTCAGACTGTTTAGGGTCAGAAAATAACCCAAACTAGAAACAGAACTAAAAAGTTCTTATTTGCTTCAGTACTGACACCAGTTAAAGTAATTTACAGAGGCTCCTATCCCAATATCTAATTATCCAGAATACAATATTTGTATACAGCACAAGCACTCTAATTCACAGTGACAGGGAGCTGGAGTTGGAGAATTAGTGAGTAAGTGAGCACAAACAATAAAAAAGCAAGGCTCCTGTACCATGATATACACTTTGTTCA